GTTATGTGCCATGCATGATACACGCTTAGGCGATCATGTATCTTTTGATACATGACTGACAAGGCAGATTTTTTTCCTGCAGTAGGTTGCCATTTCTTTCTGCAGTAGACCAGTTACCATCCAGGGCTATAGAACCAGGTCTGTCTTACTGTTTCTCCATAGCTGGCAGGAGAAGATGATTTATACCTTTTTCCAAGGGTATTAGCACATAAGTGAATGTAATGCATTCAACTGGAATCTGAACTCAGCTCTCCGATTCCTCAATCAGAGCCGCTATCCATTATTCCACGATGCCTCCTTTTTTAAAATGTATACATTGGAAGAAGAGAATTAAAGGCAAAAACAGCAAATGAACGAGACTAAGAGAGAATGTATATATGTGGGTAAAAGATATTTTAAATTGGTCAGTTATGTGCTTGCATGATAGATGCTTAGCTGATCATGTATATTTTCATACATGACTGACAAGGCAGATTTTTCCTGCAGTAGGTTGCCATTTCTTTCTGCAGTAGACCAGTTGCCATCCAAGGCTATAGATCTGTCTTGCTATTTACCCATAGCTGGAGGGAGAAGAAGAGGATTCATACCTTTCCCAAGTGTATTAGTACATAAGTGAATGCAATGGATTTGACTGGAATTCAAACTTGGCTCTCAGCCACTATACATTACTCCACTATGCCATGCCTCCTGATGATTGGAGGTGATTTTTTTTTACTTCAGTCAGTTATGTGCCTGCATGATACACACTTAGGTGATCATGCATCTTTTGATACATGACTGACGAGGCAAATTTTTTCCCACAGTGTCAGTCAGTCACGGTAGAGTAATGGATAAGCAGCTTGGATCGAGGAATCGGAGAGCTGAGTTTGAATCCCAGTCAAATCTATTACATTCACTTACATGCGAATACCTTTAGGAAAGGTGTGAATCCTCTTTTTCTCCCCCCACATCTATGAGTAAATAGCTGGATAGACTGGGTTCTATAGCCTTGAATGGCAACTGATCTACTGCAGAAAGAAATGGCAACCTACTGTGGGAAAAAAATCTGCTTCATCAGTCATGTATTGAAAGATGTGTAAGCGTGTATCACGCATGACACATGACTGATTGACAGTCAAATTCAGGATGAGGTATTGATTAGTGAAACAACCACCAGTCATCTTGTACTTCAAATCAAATTTAGGAGGAAAAAAGATTAGAAGTGAATGTCTATCTTTAAGTTTGCTATATCTATGATTATGTTCAAACTCTTATCAAGATTCTTTTGCTTCTGTGCACTGTGTTCCTTCAGAATGTGCGTGATCTTGGCTCTCCACAATTTCCTGTTCTTTTTAGCTCTTAATAAGTTTTTTCTTTTCGTTATCTCTCCCAATCCCTGTTCTGCGATCCATTTACACAAGCTCATTTGATAGATTACTCTCTGTTACTCCTGCCTTCAATATGTCCTGTGAGTGACAAATTCTCCAGGCCCTCTTTTCTCTTATGCTCTAGAAATCTTTCTGATTCTGGTATAGGTTTTCTTTTTGTTTCCAATTTTCCTAAAATTATCTACTCTTATTATTATTATTTGATTTTTTCTTTTTTTCTTATTTCTGTTTCATTTTTATTTTTTTAAATCTCTGAAATGAAAGAAATATTAGTCAAAAATGAATTATAATGTCAATCTAAGGAATTAAAAAAACTTTGTAACTATTCTAAAAAATAAAAAAATAAAGACAATTTGATGGGCATTTTGTTTTTACTGTCAAATGAAAAATTAAGAAAATGGACAGTAAACAAGATCCAGAAATGCAGATGTTTTCTAAAAATTTCCATTTTTTACTTTCTAAGCACATTCCCCCACTTCCCCTCGCCTCCTCCTTGAGTTGTGAAGCCTTTAAATATGTTCTAATTAAAAAAAAATCACTCACTAATTCATTGTTCATTCATGCATATACATACATAGCTGTGTCTTTTTGTTAGGGCAGGACCGAGATTAATCTTACACAAAGCAAGATGGGTCCTACCTGACAGAGAATCTCAGTTTGCCTCTCAAAATACACCTGTCACACACACGCACACACACACCGATGTCTGTCAAACCCAGAGATACTACTGGCTACACTTTGGCTGCCAGCACTGCCTGACCGTGATAACATTAAGACTTATCATGATGGTTCCAGGCCAGATGCTCTTCATAACACTCATAGCAGTCCAAGTACAGTGAGTATTTTTACTGAGATACCATCTCTAGGAAGGTTGTCATTCTCAAGGCTTGAGACCTTGATCCTAATCAAGACACAAACATAAAAACTGAATGAGTTTGTAATGGATTCGACTGGAATTCGAACTCAAGGAGCCATGGTGGAGTAATGGATAGCAGCTCTGATTGAAGAATCAGAGAGCTGAGTTCAAATCCCAGTCGAGTCCATTACATGCACTTACTTGTGAATACCCTTAGGAAAGGTATGAATCCTCCTCTTCTTCTCCGCCACTCCCAGCTATGGGTTAGAGTGGATAGACTGGGTTCTATAGCCTTGGATGGTAACTGGTCTACTGCAGAAAGAAATGGCAACCTACTGTGGGATAAAATCTGCCTTGTCAGTCATGTATCGAAAGATACATGATCACCTAAATGTGTATCATGCATGTACATAACTGACTGACCCTTGGGAAAGATATGAATCCTCTTCTTCTCTCCCCCCAGCTATTGGTAAATAGCAGGATAGACCGGGTTCTGTAGCCTTGGATGGCAACTGGTCTACCACAGAAAGAAATGGCAACCTACTGTAGGAAAAAATCTGCCTCATCAGTCACATATCGAAAGATACATGATTGCCTAAGCGTATATCATGCATGGCACATAACTGACTGAATTTATGGCTTACGGTTGCCCTTCCAATCCAAAGAAGTATTTCATTATGCACCCATCTGTGAATTCTCAGATGGCTTTGCAATTCAACACTGGTGTAGAAGTCTGGAACAGTGCAAGTACTGAAAATCAGTTTTTGAAATTGCTACCTATTTTGCTCTCTGGTGTGGTTTTCCTGCTGGGATGAAACCATGCCTTGTGAAAATTTGCAGAAGTTTGAAAGTGATTTCTGGTATCATCTTCCTATTCATTTGCTTTGATCTTGCTTCCCTGAAGGTTGCTTTTGACAAATGTTTGTAGCTGTATTTGCTTGGCCTCTGACTTTTGCCACATGTCAGCTCTCCATTGTGCAGGTGTCATGGTATACAGTCCTCTCTCATGCAGATAGCACCAGCCAGTCACATGAGTTAAGCTTTGATAAGTACACTTGATACAGATTTAAATAAGCAATAAATAATAATTATGGTGCCATCTAAGATGCCACTCAAGTATAAATGCTTTTTTGTTCTTTAGTTGATTTTAATTGTTATAAATTTTTTTGTGTTCTTTGTTAAAACCCTAGAACACTAACCATCAATTAAAGTTACACCACTACTAACTATGGGTATATCATACCTGATTTTGAAGTTAACATTAATAGGAACTGGAAAACATAATATAGGTAAGAAAATCAGGCAACATCTGCATGTCTTATGCTGTTATGATTGTGGGCATCTATAATTTTCTCAGAATCACCTCACTGTATAGGTTGAATAAGTCTGGCGAGAAGACTCATCCTTGTCTTAAACCCTTTCTATTTTTGTATATTTAATGAATTCATTTTCTATCTGTTTGCAGGCAACAATTCTTTGTGATGTACCTTATCAAATTCTTTTGCATAATCTATAAAAAAAACAGATACACCTCCTTCTGCACTTGTATTGCTCTTTATGGTATCATTCTGAACATAAATATTGCATTTTTTGTTCCAGTGTCAATTAAAGTTACACCACTACTAACCATGGGTATATCATACCCAATTTTGAAAATATCAAAAAAAAAAAATTAATTATAAATCTTTATTTGAAATATTTTACATGCAGGCTCTTCAAACTTTGTACTTTGAGTTAACATTAATAGGAACTGAAAAACATTATTTAGGTAAAAAAATCAGGTACTGAAAATTGTAATTAAAAATAGGAAAATTTGCGCTGGGTACTATATACCCATAGTTAGTATTCTAGGGTTAAACTTTGTAGGCAGTTTGTTTGTTTCTAATAATCTATTCTTTATTTTAATCATAATGTGATTTATATATTTATTGATTATAAAGTTGCATCTCCACTTTGTAATTAGATATCCCATTGTTTACGGAATGCATTATTTGACATCATAAAGTAAACATGCCTTGTGTTGTCATAATAAAAAAGCCCTCATCACTAAGTAGTGAGAACAGGTTCCTAATACATTATTTCTTTATTTTATATTAGGTTTCTTTGGAAATTTATATTTTCAATGGTTTAAGGAACAAAATTATTTTTTTCACATTCAACAGTAGAGTTAATTTTATAGGTAAAAATCCTGTATTATTCCTGCCGAAAATATATAATTGAAAAACGACTGGCATTTTTTTTTTTTGCCAGTATGAGTAAATTAGTTTTGGGATATTTGTCAAATATAACTACAGATGTTCCGCTACTTATGATGAACCCACCCTATGGTGAAAATGACCTAATCCTCTTGAGTCTTTTCTCTTTTCACTACAGGCAGGAGATAGCATTTGGGTGTTTAGCAAATACAGTGTATAATACAAATAAAACCCCAAATAATGTATGGTCATTTGCAGGAAGAACAACTCAAGATGTAAGCTACGAATTTGAAGCAGTAAAAGACAGTAAAATCAAGTTTAAATATTTGGGAAATATTTTAATAGAAAACAGAAGATACTTCTTTAAATAAAGTTGCAAAGTACAAATTTATTAAGTCATATTTAATTCATGGTTGTTAGATGGAAATTATTTCAAAATTGTACTCTGAAAACTTGCTGTTGTCCTTGTATGATGTGCAGGTAGTGTAACAGTTATTGGTACAGAAAGTGGAATCAGTCTCAAGTTCAAATCTCAGCCTAGTCTGTTGCATTTACTTTCACTTTAATGTCCTTGGGAAAGCTATGAATTTAACAGCAGTCTTGGGTGGCATCCATCTCTTCCTTTTTCTTTTTTCTCTCTCCACCTATGCCTTCTCCTTTTTTTCTCTCTCCATCTATGCCTTCTTTTTTTTTCTTTCTCTCCACCTCCTCCTCTTCTCTCCACCTCCTCCTTCTCTTCCTCTCCTCCTCCTCCTTCTCTTCCTCTCCTCCTCCTCCTTCTCTTCATCCTCTCCACCTCTTCTTCCTCTTTCAGTCACCACCTCTTCTTTCTCTTCATCTCTTCTTCCCTCTCTCTCATCTCCCCCTCTCTCTCCATCTCTTCCCCCCCCTCTCTCTTTTCATTCAGTTTAGGAAAAGGAAAACTGAATTCCTTGAGAAACCCTAAAGAAAACAATGGCAAATTACTCCACTATCTTTCCTAAGAAGTCATGGCAATTCACAGACAATAAAGAAAAGCAATCTGTAGAGAACTATCCTGAAAGGACATGGCTTTTTGTTTTCTTTTTGTCTAAGTAGATGAAAGGCATCAGTATAAAATGCTGTAAAATTATTTTAGAATGAGATTGAGAAAGAATAAACCATTCCTTCCAGTTTCTAACAAGAACCTTGTGCCAAATTCTTTGCATCAATATGGTTATAAATATTAACAATGACAAATGAAGAAAAAGAAAACTGAGAAGATCAGGCACTTCTTGTTGGCTGATTGTCAGTGATGGCTGAAAGAATGGTCATTGGAGTGAGAAAGTAGTGTTGGGAGGTTGTGGACCAATTATTAGTGAAGATAATTGGGCTCCCAGTTTCTTTTCCTTTGGCTGGCTTCTGCCTACACCCCCCCCACCACCATCATTCTGTCTTCAGGGACTGATGGATCACAAGCACTGCCATCTTCTTTACTTTCTTTTTCTTTCTCTCTTTTCCTTGACTTAATTTTTTTATTTTACTCTTTCAACTCCCCCTTTCCTTCTTTTTTTTTTTTCCTTACTTTTTTTTTCTTCCTCCACATTTCTTCCTGCTCCTTTTTTTTTCCTCTCTTCATTTCTTCCTGTTCTTTATCCACTCTCTCTATCCACTCCGGTTCTTTTTTTTTCCTCACCCTCCATCTTTTCCTATTTTTTTCTCACCCTCTGTCTTTTCCTCCTTCTTCCTCACCTTCCATCTCTTCCTCCTTCTTCCTCACCTTCCATCTCTTCCTCCTTCACCTTACCTTCTATCTCTTCCTTCTTCTTTCTCCACCTCACCATCTCTTCCTTCTTCTTTCTCCACCTCACCATCTCTTCCTTCTTCTTTCTCCACCTCACCATCTCTTCCTTCTTCTTTCTCCACCTCACCATCTCTTCCTTCTTCTTTCTCCTATCCTTCCATCTCTTCCTCCTTCTTTTTCCTCCCCCTCCATCTCCTCCTCCTTTCTCCTCTCTCCCCATTTCCTCCTCCACCTTTTTCTTTCCTTCCTATTTTTCTTTGGGTTTTTTTTTTTTTTCTTTTTTGGCTCTCATCCCAACTTTATCATTTTCTTCCCCAACTTTGTTAATCTTTTCTTCCAATAACTTTACCCTCTCTTTTATTTCCATATTTCTTTCACCTTTTTCTTAGCCTCTTTCTCTTCCTCTTTTTCTTCCATCTCTTTTTTCCTTCTCCCTCCCATCTCCTCCTATTTTTTTTTTTTTTCATCCCTTCATTTTTCTACCCTCCCCTTTCTGCTACCTGTTATCTTTTTCTCTCCTTCATTGATGATGATAGATGTATTAAGATGCCTGGATGCCCATCTTCCCTCTAATTGAACCATCCCTTAGGTACAGGTCCATGTGGCTCCTCATTTTCCATCCGCAGCTGCTGTTGCTACTGCTGCCTCAGAAAGCACTGGGTAATATTTAATTATGAGGAAAAGAGAAAAAGGAGCTTGTGGATACGATAAAAGAAGACTCATCCCACTTTCAGCTGTATCTATCTTAGGGTGGGATCTCCATTTCCCTTCCTAAGTGGACAGGGAAGTAACAAGCCAGTCTCCTTCATTGATACAATGGTAGGGACAGGGAGGCGGCCAGGTATGGGAGAGGCGGTTGCTCAAGAAGTAGAATGTTGAGAAACTCAATGGCATCTACAACTACTACTAGCCAGAAATAGTTGCTTTAGTAACATGATTACTAAACACCTCCTTTGAAGTCTTTTTTTTTTTTAAATTCTAAGATTAATATTTATTTAATTGGTTTATCCATTGATTACTTTCTAGGTTAAACTTTGCAATTTTGAGACTGGCAACATAAAATATTCAATTGTGTTTGGAGGACGGATGAGGCTGCTTTTGTCTTTTAATTTTGGCATTAGTGAGTGGAGAAGCTTTATTTTAGTACTAGATAAAACGGGAAATGATGACCCAAGCATTTTAATGCTTTACTAGCAATACTCATGAAAATTCTCTGTCTTCTTAATTGAATTTTATAATGAATCATAATTCTTGACTTAATGATTGAATAAGCTACTTATGAGTTCCATGACTATAAAATACCTGTGAAAATTCTCCTATTGTCTCATTAAATATTGGACCTTAACATCATTAGCAAAATATTGCAATAACAATCAGGCTTACAGCCACATCAAATTGAAACATTGGTTCCTATACAATCACTAAAGTTAAGCAATGTTGAGGCTGGTCATTACCTAGATGGGTGACTGCTTGGGAATACCAGGTGCTATAAGCTTTGATGTGTAGGTGGTATAATGAATAATGGCTTGGAATTTTTATTCGGAGAGTTCCAATTACCATTATATTTACTTATATTCAAATACCCTTGGGAAAGATATGAATCCACCTCTTCTCCTCCCAGCTATGGGTTAATTAGTAAAACTTGTATCACTAAATGATTATCTCCAAAAATATTATTAAAATTTAAAAATATTTTCTGAAATAACCAGCAAAGGGTTAATAAGCTGTAGGAAGGGAAAAAAATCAAATTAAAACAATTATAAGTGTATGTCATTAGCTAAAGAAGTAAGAGGGTACAAATGAAAAGATTAAAAATTGACATTATTTTCCATTCATGAAAAAGATATTAAAAACATGAGAGCATTATTAACTTTCTTTCTTTATGTATGCTTCCTTTTCTTACTAAAATCAGACCTCTCTGTTTATGCCTTTTTCTAAAGGGTCAGTTAGAATGGAATGGTCCATTATTTATCCGAAGTAATAGCAGGGTAATTGAACTATATTGTTTCTTTTCTTCCTCTTTCTTTTGACACATTTTCTCTCTCTCTCTCTCTCTCGAAATTGCTACCCCTTTAATTTCTCCTTCTCTCTTTCTATTCTGATGTTCTCTTTTATTAAATACTGAATACCTTTTGAAATGAAGATGATCATGGCCCTCCACAAATTTTTTTCCTGCATTATCTATGAACTTCCATGTGTTCTTGGGAAAGATATTGCAGTGGTTTCTCATTGTATTCTCCATGGTTTATGAATTCAATTTCCTTTCCTTAGACTGGTTTTTACCCAAGGCTAGAGTCCCTTTTTACCTTGATATTCAACTCATAAATGGCATTGGTGGTGGTGGTGGTGGGGGGTTAGTGGGCATTTGTGCAAAAGTGAATGTAACAACATTGGCTGAAATCTAAACTCAATTCACTAAACCCATTTTCAACACCGATGACAACCTATATTAACTACACATTAGATGTACATTCTGATATACCTAACCATATGATTGATGATCCCTATCCAGAATAGTGTAAGCATTTTCTCTCTTTCTAATATATATATATATATATATATATATATATATATATATATATATATATATATATATATGTGTGTGTGTGTGACGTCATTTGTTTACATTTGGATACACATCGAGAAGATATGAATGTACGAGAGAAAATCATGGAGAATTGTAGTTTAAAAACAGTAAAATTGACCTTGCTAACCGAAACGCTCCTCTTTGGTTCAATAGGTAAAGCATGTCAGGCTATATGACGGTTTCATATAGGATACAGGTTCAATTCCTGTCGGAGGACGCATATTTTCTATGAAAAATTTCTTGGACATTCAGGCCGGTAAATGTCGTTAATACTGTTTATTATAAACAGAGCATTTACTTAAATATTTGTATGTATAAAAAGAACATATAAACATAAAAAAATGTCTTAAAATATATATACATATATATATACTCAGTTGTACGGATATGAGTTTGTCTGATGATCACAAAAGCGTGAAACCCAGGGTCACAAACTCATCTCGATACAACTGAAAATGTTAACCCTATCACTGATATTGTGCACTTTCCAATAAGTACTGCACATATAAAATGAAATTATATATATATATATATATATATATATATATATATATATATATATATATATAAAAATGTGAAATTTTATTTATTAATTATAATTAGTAGATAAATAAAATCTATTGTTCCTTATTGAAGATTGGGTTTCCAGTTTTTTCTAAAGTCTTGCCATTCTCTTTTTCCTCTCTTATATATATATATATATATATATATATATAGTTTTATGGTGTGCTATATTTATGGGATAAAGTGCTCAATATCAGAGATAGAGCATATGTAAATATAAAAGTGAATAAAGAAGTCAACACTCACAGGTGACAGAAACAAATTAACAAACCACTCCTGTTAGAATAGACGAAATAGAACAAATTAAATATACATAATAAATAAAAATAACCAATCCAAATAAATAAGAAAAACAAGTAAAAATTAATCCAAATAAATAAATAAATGAACAAATCAACAAACCGCTCTTGCTAAAATAACCTTTAGAACTAATAAAAGTAAACATAAATAAGCAAAAACAAGTAAAAATAATCCAAATAAATAAAGAAAATAATAAACAAATTAAAAACTGTCCCCCACCAAAATAGCAGAATAGACTACGACAATCAATCCAAAAATTGGACAGATAAATAGCTTTATCTTCCCAGTCCAAAACAAGCTATTAAATAAGCGACCTAAACAAATCTTCCAATTTTTTTTTACTACGTTAATAAAACATGGAAAATCGAAAAGAATAAATAAATATATAGAATAAAAAAAGAAAAGAAAAAACAAATTAATTTAACCCAAATAAATAAATAAGCCACTCCCGCCAAAATAACTGCTAGAATAGATTACCCACAATGCACCACTGACCCATATACATAAATAGTCGAGAAAAAAATTCCAACATTCGTGGCCTGATGATTGCGTCTAGCAACCATATTTTAAATCAATTAATTTATAATATTAATGCTCTGGAAATTTACAATGAGCACTATTTTGTAAAAATAAAAATATCTATAAGAACACCGGATTATATATCTTACTGTTCTTTTTTTTTATATATATATATATATATATATATATATATATATAATATGCAATTAAAAAAGAAAAGGGTCCACATGTGCCTTGTATAATATGTAAAATAGATTAGTTAATAAAACATGGACAAATGAAAGGCTACCAATATAATCGGTATGATAAACGTTTATTAGATGTTAGCCATATGACAGGAGTGAAGCATAGAGAGAAAGGTTTTATGTTCAGAACTTTTGGCCTGTGTCCTTCATCAATGCACCAAGGAATAAACAGAGAAATGGGAAGTACTCACTGACAGATGTTTTTGTAGATGGGGTATTTTCCAGTGGAAATTTTATTGTTAGCAAAAACCCAATCTCTGTCTGATTCCTTGATATGCAAAACTTTTTATGAAAATAAACTTAGTTTTAAAATTTTTGTAACGGAGAGTAATTCCCATTTCTAATATTTTCTGTAGATTTTCTAGTGATTAAAGCATTTTCTATACACTTTTGTCTCAGTAAATTGCTTTAGATTTGCATTTTTTTAAATCACAGTTATGGTCAAACACATTATGGCAAACAACTAATGCATTGAATGTGTTGTTTTGCAAAAGATCCCTTTTGTGTTCATATAAGCTTTGTTACTTGCTTGAAGTTTCTTCTGTGTAGTACTTGTAGCAGTCCTTACAAGTTAATAGAGTAAATTCCTCCTTTGTTTTAGCTTAAGAGGTCTTCAGGAATGCCTTATGGAATATCAACATCTTGATTATATCATGGTTTTCTCTTCAAGTTACATGTGATATCCATTTTAGTTGTTGCTACTATTGAATATCCACAAGTGATGTAGTTTCTGTTATCAGGTTCTTTGTGATTCTTTAGTGTCAATCCGCAGGCTTCACTTGCTCAAAGCTATTTTTAACCATTGATCTGAGAAAGCAATTGTATAGAGGTGACAGCTTAGATATTTTTGAATGAGGTTGGTGCCATGCATGACATTCATATGAAAGTTTCAATTTGATGAGGCTGTTTTATAGAACATGATTGAGTTTTTAGGTTGATGTTTTGGTTTTTGCTGCAATTTGTGGTGTTGGGCAATTGTACTATTTATGTTATCCAACACTATAACCAATAATCTATCCACTCTGCACTAAATTTAGTCCGTTAGTTATGTGACATGCGTAATACACACTTAGGCGATTATGTATCTTTCGATATATGACTGACAAGACAGATTTTTTGGTTGCTATTTCTTTTTGTGGAAGACAAGTTGCCATCCAATGCTATAGAACCCAGTCTGTCCTACTATTTTATCCATAGCTGGTAGGAGAAGAAGGGGATTCATACCTTTCCCAAGGGTATTAGCATGTAAGTGAATGTAGTGGATTCAACTGAGATTTGAACTTGGCTCTCCAATTTCTCAATCTGAGCTACTATCCCTTATTCCATCGTGCCTCCTAAATCTATATTTAGTAACGGTTTAATTTCTTTCTCTATGTAAGTGATATACTGAGCACCATGCTCAATAATCTATCTCCAAAACTTGCTAATCAGTTTAAACATTAGACTCTCTCAACATTTGCCTGAGTACTTTTTTTTTCTCTCTGACCACTATGCACTTTACTGATAATCTCCCTTTATAATGACCAGCAGATCAGTCATTGACCAGTAGTCTTTGTTCTGGATTTTATACCCTGCCCCTGACCTTATGTCTAGCCATGACTCTCCCACCTCAAAGTTTCTATCTGCCACTCATTATCTTTCTCATGGTCATCATCAGGCCTCCTCTACCACAAAATATCTCTTTTCTGTGGCCATTACAGTTCCAAGTCACCCAACTAACACTCAGCTTTGACTGTCAAACTTGTCTAATCTTGTCATTAGGTTGTGTATCTTCATAACTTGCTTTGAATTGGAGATTTAAAATATACAAATCTTAGGCAAGAAATTAATAAAGATACAAATGACTTTAGTTTAAATTGACTTCAATGTTGGTGACTTCCTTTCTATTACAACAGCTTCCAACAATAGCCAGCATTAAATAGGATATCCTTTTCCATAGGAGATTGAAGTGTCTATATATTTTTAATTAAAAAAAAAGCCTGTATAAATTCAATTGCTGACTATTGTAGATGATGTTACCTTTAAATGACTTAAAATTAATTCCAGTAAAAAAACAAAAACAAAAAAGAACAATTTACCAAACACATTTTGATAAGCAGGCTAAATACTCTTGATAATGACTGTATTGATTGGTAATTGCATTTAGATTTACAAAAATTGAGGTTCAGAATGTTTACCAAAGTTAGATCTGACATAAAACAAAAAACAACAAAAAAAAGTTGGAAGTTTGGGGAAACTAAATAAAAAGTTGGAAAGATTGATATTGTCAGTATTGTTTAATAAAACTTCTTTGAAAGAATTCTTGCCGTTTAAATACTACATATTCAGACATGTCTCAAAAAAAAAAAAAAAATTGAAAAATTAAAATTTTAGTCTTCAAAACATTTCTAGTATTTCCTATCAGTGCATAATTATTACTGATTCTTGAATTTTATATCTCTCCTTCGTACACATATATAATTCCATCAACAAAAATATTTCTTTGGTCCAATGAAGTCCTTATAGAGGACAAAATGTGTTACACAGAATTTTTTTTTTCACTTTGTATATATATTATGCAAATGAATGACAAACACAAACCCATGAGGAGGTGCTGAAATAATGTTTTTTTTTTTTTTATTTTTTGTTCGCAACCCATTTCACAAAATCAGTATTTCAACCACCAAATATCTAAATACGGATTTGCCGAAGTATATCTGACTGCAAAAGAAATTATAAGCTTGCATCATTATCAAGTAAATAATTAGTTTCAACTTTTAAGAATTTTTTTTTCTGCCAAAGTTCTCTGATTAACTTAAAAAATATGGGTGTTCTTTTGACCCCTCCCCTTTATATTAAATTTAGTTACTTTTATTCTGGAACTTAAAGCATAAAGATAAATCTGTTAGACACTTGTGAATTAAAAAGATTGAAAATTTTTCATTTGCTTGTTAATTGTGCATGAATATTAAATCATTCAAAAGCTGAACACCTCAAGGCTATCACTCTTACCCATACTCCAAACATATATGTACAGCTCACTTAAAAGTTTGGATTTTAATTAGTAAAAGAATTTGATAAGTCTAGCTCTAGAATAATTCCATTTTCTAATGACAGATTTTTATGTTTTAAAGATAAATAAATCTTATTTCTGCTATTTTAATATTGTTTTTTTTCTTTTGACATGCAAGACTAGAAAAGGTTGTGACGTGCTGACCAATTCAGGTAGTTTTTTTTTTTTGTTCCATGAACACATTAATTTGGTCGCAGATATTAATAGAGTAGAGAAAGTGTGACTAACACTCGAGAAAGGCTGGAGATTATGGCTGCTGAAACATTGGAATAAAGAGAGAAATGACAATTAAACTTGGTTGGAAAGAATCAATGTATAATAAAAAGATCTGGGCTAAGAAATTCAGAGAGGAAGAATACCTTTTTTTTCACTTCACCCAATAGAGCCACTCAATATAATTACTGAATAAGGTGTCTGTGTGTGTGTTTTTTTTTGTTTGTAATACTTTTATGTAATACAAGGCTCTAGAGCTACTCAAGATAGAAAGTTACTGAATAAGGTACATGATATGAATTTTTTTTTTTTTTTTTTTTTTTTTTTTTTTGGGAATTTAATGATAAAAATTTATTGAAACAAAACAATTACAGTTGACCACTGATGACAATTCCAGAACAACGTAACAATAAACAATTTTTTCTAACCTCTGCCAGCCGCAATGATGGAGAAAGCATTACCTCGAACCATCGCCAGTGAGACACGCTGCAAGAGCCACTCCGTTTCACGAGGCTTGTCCCTTAATCGAGACGCAATTGCGCCAATCCTCCAAAGGAACGCCGTTGAACGAGAGCCAATAACCCCTGAAGTCTCCACTGCCACAGGAGTAAGAAAAAAATCTATCAGCCAGAGAAAATATATGAAATGAACATTACAAGGATAATGAGAACAGATAAGGATTGACTCTGTTACATAAAGTAGTAGTTCTTGGGGGGGGGGAAGCTGAGTGGAACTTCTTCCTAGCCCTAGCTGTAATGGTCTAGATTGGTGGAACTAAGGAATGGAGCTCATCTGAATTTTTTATCATGGAAATAGTGATAGAGTAATGATAAGGTTATGACATTGCATCTGTGAAGAAAGAGGTTGTAGAGTGGGAAATAAGCCTTCAAGACCATGTAAACAATTTTGAACCCTGTATGAGTTTTCAGCTGCTGTAACTGAAAATATTGGAACAAAGATAGAAGAAACTACCAAACTGCTTTGAAATAATATATAATAGTAAGAAAACCTTGTCACAGAAATTTAAGCAAAATTTAATGGAAGATGGATTGATTGTTTTTTATGGATTATCAACCCTTTACAATGTATTTAAAGCCAGAAAAAACATTTTCAGATTGTAAGAACTTTTTTATTTTTATTTTGGCATAATAATGAGACAATTCGTACTAATTAACCCAAAGCTAGGGGAGGAGAGGTGGATTCATAATATTCCCAAGGGTATTTGCATGTAAGTGAATATAATAAAGCTAACTTGAATTCTGCATCATTATCCATTTACACCACCTGCATATTCAAGCTTACAGCACCTGGTATTCCCAAGAGGTTGTCCATCTAGATATTGACCAGGTTTGACATTGCTTAACTTCAGTGATTGTATGGGAACCCACTGTTTCTACACAATGTTACCGTAAGCCTTTAACAGGAGAGACTTGTTTTTGTGCAGCTAAGCAAATGATTGTGAAATATTTCATTGACAACAGGAAAAATGGTTTAACTCATATTTTCAGTTTAAACAATCACCCCCACCCACTATATCTAAATTATAATTATAAACTATAATTGTGGAAAGTAAATATTTCACTGAAATATCTTTGAAAATGTCCAAACTTACACCAAGGAATCATAAAATGTAAAATTTATCAGGAAATTTTGAATTTTATAATACAACAATAAATGGCATCACTTCTTCCATTTTTGCTTTCCCCCTTACGTTAGATAATGTGGGATACAAATATGATGGTAGGATACACTGTTCGGTAGGACACACTAAAGTGACGCCGAAATACCTTTGTTTTTTGTTTTTTTTTCTTTACTGTTTCCTGATAAATTATATATTTTATGATTCCTTTTTAATTTCTCTTATACTGACCATGTTTTTCTGAATAATAATAATAATAGTAGTAAACACCCTTGAAATTGCCCGGTTGTGTAATCTGCAAAATTCTTTCATTGTAGAAGTACAAAAAAAATTTTTTAAAATAATGATGCCGCTTTAGCATGTGTTCTACTGATCAGTTTCTGGTTTAGTGTGTATCCTGCCACCACATTTGAATCCTAGATTATCAAGGCATTGTCCCGACTTTTTTCTCGATGTGTTAAAAGACATTCACAATGTTTTTATTTAAAGGATTCAAATATATTGTTTTTGGAGTTTTTTAGCCAAATTTCTTGTTTTATAAATTTTTTTTTATTTTAAATTTTATAATATGACAATAAATGGAATTCCTCCTCCTGTTTTTTGATTTCTCCCTTACATTAGATAATGTGGGATATAAATATGGTGATAGAATACACTGATCAGTCAGACACATGCTACAACGGCATCAAATAAATAAATAAATAAATAAAATAAAACCGAGATTACTCATGCAGAAACAATAACCAGTGCATTTTACAGCATTACTGGTGTCAATTTAAACTTATACATTTTTCCGGATATAAACTATAAACTATAATTGGAAAGTAAATATTTCACTGAAAATGTCCAAACTTACATCTAAAATCAAGAAAATAGTAACTTTAAGCAAATTGTTAACAATATATGGAAAAAAGAGTGTTTGTTTTACACAGATCCTCCTGGTCTCAGTTTAAATTGATGCCTTTTTGTTTATTTTTCAATTTATCTATAATTTTGGAAGGTGAATAGTTCACTGAAATAAGTTGGAAATTTTGTTTAGTTTTAATCTAAAAGTGATAAAATATGAAGATTAAGGAAAATGGTTACTGCTTGAGGCCAAAATTGCAATTATAAGTTATAATAGTCCTAGTAATAGTACATTTCTAAGGCAAATGATTGGTGCCATTGTTTTGGATTCAGGTTGATCCAGATTAGTGTGTAGTTTGGCTTGGTATTATTGTTACCTAGACATTTTACCAGAAAGTAAAAAAAAAGATTCATTTACCTCTGGAATACATGTTGCTACAATTTCATAGGTTAAACATTTCTGGTAGCAGAAAGTATTTAGCAGCTTACTTATGGAAAAAGGGTGGCCTCATTTTTAATTATCAGTTAAGACAAGGTAATTTAACAATATTTGTTTGCCCAGGATTGAACTCTTATTCCTTGGCTATCTCACAGGTTAATCTTTTCTAGTAACAGAATGTAGTTAATAGTCACAATAGTAGAATGTAGTTAATGGTCACAGTGTTAAAAAGATCTGTTTAAACTGACATCATGAGGATATGGGTTCAGTAATTGTCTAAACTTGATAGGTTTATAAAATTTTAATTAGTTATACGTGTTTGTTTTGGAATGTTGTTGTGTTTCATGACGTGAGTACTAAAAATAATTAGTCTAATGGAAAACAGAAGCTTATTTTTAATGAAATCTTTCTGTAAGTGGCTATGTTTCAAAAGAACATGCTAATGCTATTTTGTATGCTTTGATGTAGGTCACCATCTGGTCACAGTTTAGTGATTCTTGAAGTCATTGCTATAGTT